CGATAGGATCCTCAAGCAGTAGTGATGTCGCGAACCCGAAATTTTCGGTTCGCGAACGGCGAACGCGAACTTCCGCAAATGTTCGCGAACCGGCGAACCGCCCGAAACGCCATTGACTTCAATGGGGAGGCGAATTTAAAAACACACAGGGACTCTTTCTGGCCACAATAGGGATGGAAAAGTTGTTTCAAGGGGACTAACACCTGGACTGTGGCATGCCGGAGGGGGATCCATGGCAAAACTCCCATGGAAAATTACACAGTTGATACAGAGTCTGGTTTTAATCCATAAAGGGCAGAAATCACCCAACATTCCTAAATCACAATCAATATGGATTGACACCTGACATATGACATATTGACACCTTGACATATGGATTGACACCTGTCCTCAGAGCCCCTGATGCACACGGACACAGAGCAGAATAGAGACTGCTCCCCCTACATAGGGTCACTTGGCAGATATGGATTGACACCTGTCCTAAGGATCCCTGATACACACTGACACAGAGCAGAATAGGGACTGTTCCCCCTACATCGGGTCACTTGGCAGATATGGATTGACACCTGTCCTAAGGTTCCCTGGTACACACTGACACAGAGCAGAATAGGGACTGGTCCCCCTACATCGGGTCACTTGGCAGATATGGATTGACACCTTGTTACAAACTGCTATTTGTAACGGGCCCTTTAAATGGCAAATTGCCATGGGTTGTGGAGAAGCCTATTTGCCAGCCTCCTCCCGCATGACTATGGCCCCTGGGAGATTGTGAAAATGTATGCACTTTTATTTGGTGTGTATGGCCCTTTAAGACTGTCGGTGGGCATATTGGGGCTTATGGACTCTTTATGTGACTGGTGCTGGCCCTTTAAACACCTTTTTTGGGACATCAGGAAGATTGGGACACTGCCCCTTTAAGGCCGTGTCCCCAGACTTGTTGGGGACACGGCCCCTTTAAGACGGTGTCCCCTGTGTCCCCAGACCTGGTGCAAACCCTTTGTGCCTGCCTTGCTATTTCTCACTTGGTTCAGTAAATGGGAAATTATTTCAGCTGCAGAGACTAAGTCCCATTCGGCGATGGGACTTAGTCTTTTTTTCAGCCTTATTTCAGCTGCAGAGACTAAGTCCCATTAGATGGGACTTAGTCGTTTTTTCAGCCTGAAATAGACCGCCTCACAGCCCAAATCTATGGAACTGTTTTGGGCAGGAAAATGTGCTTGCAGTCGGTCATAAAGGGACCTCAGCTAACTTTTTAACCCCTGGATGGATTTGGCTGATTTTTGGTTATGTTTATGTTTTAAGTGTGCTGATTCCAAATATGTAATTATGAAGATGGGATGTGTAGTTTTAAAGTTACAGGGTATGGCTAAAAACTGTATTTTTACTGCCTGTGTTTAATTATGTTAATCTCTTCCCAAACGTCATTTCGTTCAAAGTGGAGAGAATGTTAAAAAAAATATTTTTGTTCTGAGTGTGAGAAATGCTTTTCAGCCGCTTCTAATCTTAAGCATCATTTGAGGAGCCATACAGGAGAGAAACCTTATTTGTGGTGTGTTTAGTATTGTTCTGATCAGTTAATACCTTCCGCGTCTCCTATCAGTGGACGTGTATATGGCAGCCATTTTAGGAACCGTACACCTGGGACTCGAGCAAGGTCACCTCGTTCAACAGGCGACAACATTTGTCCATGGAAAACTATCCTGGACATTCTGTACAATTTGTATGGATATGGCAGTGATTTCTGTAACGGGGAGATGGAAGAAGAGGCTTGGTCGGTCCTCTTAATTCAAATTTGGGGCACTCTGCGGTCAAGCTAATGTGCCACCAGATAGGAGTGGTGTGTTTAGTATTGTTCTGATCAGTTTAATACCTTCCACGTCTCCTATCAGTGGTCGTGTACACGGCATTGATTTTTGTAACAGGGAGATGGAAGAAGAGCCTTGGTCGGTCCTCTTATTGCAAATTTGGGGCACTGCGCGGTCAAGCTAATGTGCCACCAGATAGGAGTGGTGTGTTTAGTATTGTTCTGATCAGTTTAATACCTTCCGCGTCTCCTATCGGTGGGCGTGTACACGGCATTGATTTTTGTAACAGGGAGATGGAAGAAGAGGCTTGGTCGGTCCTCTTACTGCAAATTTGGGGCACTGCGCGGTCAAGCTAATATACCACCAGATAGGAGTGGTGTGTT